TACATATTTAAAATTATTAAATTAAATGACATAATACCGATGGATATAACTATCCGGGAGCAGTATGTTTCTACTGGAAAAAGCACTCACAAGTCTTCTAATGTGAGACAAGACATGAGAGTCAATGACACGAATATTAATCTAATTATCTCACGGGTTATGGAATCATATGTCCACTACACAAAAAGGGAGATTTGTTGGAATGTAAAAATTATAAGGGTATAACTCTTCTGAATACAATGTACAAAATATTCTCCAACACCCTGTACAGCCGTTTAAGTACGTACGTGGAAGAAATCCTTGGTGAGTATCAAAGCGGTTTTAGGCCAGGTAGGTCAACAATTGACCAGATTTTTGTGCTACGTCAAATCTTAGAAAAAACCAATGAATTTAATATTGACACGTTCCATCTCTTTGTGGACTTTAAGTCAGCGTATGATAGCGTCCTAAGAGGTAAACTATACGAAGCCATGAATGAACTTAACATTCCCCATAAATTAATAAGGCTCGTAAAAACAACTATGAGTAAAGTGATCTGCAGAGTGCAAATACAAGGCGATATGTCACAAGCGTTTGAAACATATGCAGGGTTACGGCAGGGAGACGCGCTGGCGTGCCTTCTCTCTAATATAGCGTTAGAAAAGACTATAAGAGATGCCGAGTTACACAATAGGGGAACAATCTTTAATAAATCAACGCAGATTATGGCGTACGCTGACGATTTGGATTTGATTGCACGTACTACACGAGGACTTAAAGAGATGACTTCCATCTTCTTGACAGCCGCACAAAATATGGGCCTTAAAATAAACGAGGAAAAAACCAAAATGCTAGCATCTATTCCAAATAACAGAGATAGAGCTAGAAACGCCGAACAAAACTTCAGTATAGACCAATATAATTTTGAGGTAGTAAATAAGTTTACATATTTGGGTTCTCTCATAACAAACGATAATGACACATCTGAAGAAGTTAAACGGAGGGTACTGCTAGCAAACAAATGTTATTTTGGACTAAGCAAGCAGCTAAAAAACAGAAACTTAAGCCAGAAAACCAAACTAATAATATATCGAACACTCATCCTGCCAGTGCTGACATATGGGTCAGAAACATGGACCATCTCCAAAACAGACGCAAATCTTCTGCTCGTCTTCGAAAGAAAGATACTAAGAAGAATAATGGGCGCATTCTGTGAGAATGGTATTTGGAGAAGGCGATATAATTTCGAATTGTACGAGAAATATAAAAAAATAGTAAATGGTAGAGATGTAATATCCTTCATAAAAATAGGCAGGCTTAGATGGGCTGGACATGTGTCAAGAGCAAATGAAAATTACCCACCCAGACGAACTCTATTATCGGTCCAGTGGGAAATAGGAGTAGAGGCAGACCACGACTGAGATGGAGGGACGGTGTGGACGAGGACGCAAGGAAAATCGGCGCGGCAAACTGGCAACGGTTGGCGATGAACAGAAACGACTGGCGAAATAGACTGGGGAAGGTCAAGGCTCAACTAGAGCTGTAGCACCACTGATGATGATGATGATCTCACGGTTTATTGTAAAATCTTGAATTAAAGAAGGCAACTCTTCATCTCCTCTCGTATATAACGTTCTCAATAATTTTTCTTGAAAATAATGCTAATTATCTCTAAGTAATTAAAAGTTTATGCTTCCTGTAACATCAAAAATTTGAAAAGTGAAACACATATATACTTTATACTTATTTTAACATTTTGTACTTAAGGTTCATGCTACCACAAGAAATATAATTCTTCTGTAGGTAATTGAAAAGAGGACGGAAACTAATGGAATGAATGTACTAAACACCGACATCAATAATTCTAACCACGAACATTTGTTCCTATAAGCTTGACCAAATAACAACACACGTAAGGCATAACTTTGTACTCTCTACATTACTTCAGTGCTTTCGAAATACAGTCAAAACTGTTTACGACAACATCGATTAGAACATATTGTTTAAGTTGGCCAAAAGCAGAGATCCCGGCTGAATGTTATTTGAACGCCTTATAAAGAATACTATTTCTACACAACTATTAGCGAAATTAATAATATAGAACTTATTTTTCATAATATAAAGTAAAAAAATCTTACAACTGAGGTAGAGTATTTGGCATTGTGTTTTTATTTTACTCGTACATGTGACAATGACTATTCTACCAAACTCCTCGAAAAAATCGCAATTAAAGTATGTTGATATTGTTCTGAAGCTATTTTCTTGTGGCATTGTAAATTAATTACTATTAAACTGGGAATAAGCCACAATTAAAGATAAAAATACGTTTATTGACGTTTCAATTTCCACTTCGGAAATCGTTCTCAAAATACAAACAGTAAATTGTTTATAACTGTTTGTATTTTGAGAACGATTTCCGAAGTGGAAATTGAAACGTCAATAAACGTATTTTTATCTTTAATTGTGGCTTATTCCCAGTTTAATAGTAATTTAAAGTATGTTGTGGATGTTAGACTTAAATAACGATGGTTGGCAATTCAGTCATTTTGCAAATCATAAATGTTAGTCAATATAAGGTTGAATGTTCGAATAATTAAACTTATATATAAATTTTTATTAATTTTAATTTTATTTAAATAATAAATGTTAGTGCTGACATTTATGTCATCTTTGTCAATAGAAACTTTGTTTATATACCAATTGTATCAAATTTTTATTAAAAACTTGTAAAAAATAAGTGAGGTTATGTATGTGCCACTCTTAAGTCATAAGTAAGTCTGTTTCTCTGTGAATCAGATTAGAACATGTGGACATCATCCAGAATACGCTACGGTGAAGATAGCTACAAATGATGCATGGCAAAAAGAAATATTGGTGTTTGACAGTGGAGTTAATATAAAAACTTAATAGGGCTTTTAGGACGATTTTCACATTTGGTCCCATTGAAGATAGCCTCACATTAGCTGTCAATTAAGTTTCACAGAACGAAATATTGCGTTGGCAGTGTTGCCATGTTCTTTTAATGTATATGTTATATGCTTCAAGTACAAAGAGATAAAGTTTTTAAAAGGTACATTTTTATCATATTATTTTATAGATTTTGCCATTTTATTCCTTATATAAAATAATAATGAAGTAATATTTGTTTCGTTTGATATTAGTTGTAATAAATTATTAGAATTTTTTTTGGCAATTGCCCTTTGATGGGTTAGCAGATAGATTTGGCAATAGAGTCAGAACCCTCAAACCACCAGCTGCCAGATTGCAACAAATGCCTTTTAAATTTTATTATTTATACTGACATTTTACTATTTACTGTTAAAAACTGTTTTAAAACTATTTACTTTTTCTTTTTTTCGTAATCGTTAAATATTAGTTTTTAAATATCTTATTGCTTTTAATTGCGTATGTTTCGTTTGTAATGTAAATTTCAACACTGCGAAACACCAATATCATTCTGTCAAACCCATTTGAAGCTATCTTCAATGGGACCAAATGTGAAAATCGTCCGGGTTTTTATATTAATATTTATAAAGAGTTTTTTTTAATAAAATTGTTTGTATTATATATTACTTCGATAACAGCGCAGGGGACACATACCACAAAATGGAGCAGATATCCTAGTAACATTAGTAGTAATCCTGTATAAGTAATACAGTATTAAATAAATACATGACCAATTTCAGATAGAGTGGTATTTATTCACAGCAATTCTTAACTGTTCTTTGCAAAATCCAATAAATGTAATGTGTAGGTATGATATTAGTAATTGTTATGACTATACGTTTTTACAACCAAATATTGGTGGTTCATTCGATGTCGTTGTAACAGATTTTGACACCGGCGTAAGCCTTGGTCTTATTCTTTGTGTGCCTTGTTTTTAGGACTGACTTTTAAGCCAGTGAACATTGCTCAATAATAAGTCCATTCTACTTTGGTCATACAGTAAAGATTACAATATAGCTACAAAAGTTGAAAGAAAATTTGTTTTAGAACCTAATGAGGTGATTCACAAGAGACGTGAAGTGGAATATCACGAGATACCTTTAAAATTATACCTCTAGGTTAAGCAGTTATTCGTAAACATTGACTTAAAAGAATAGTGTTTAGTTTTGCACAGTTTTACTGGTGATTTATCTTAAAAAATTCTTCACCAGTCTTCATTATATGTTCGAAAGGAAGCATTAATCTTAAAACTTTTTGATAACCATTTAATGAACGTCTTCTTGAAGGCTGACTCTCTATTTTATAATAATTTTCAGTGCAAAATAAAACTTTTATATAAATTGATCAATGTCTTATAATACTTTTTTAATCTACTTTTATTTTTGCAAATATCTATTCTGTTTTTGACACATTAAGGCACACAAAGAGTAAGATTTAAAAAAAAAAAGAGACAGTAAGTTATTTTAACAGTAATGGCAGTGCGAACGTTTGGATAACTTATTAGTAGTAGCTACTTATTGTATTTAAACATTAATTGTTTAGCCCAAGACAATTTGAATGTATGTTCAAAATACTTTCCTTATCGCCCATCGAAAAATATTTATTTGCAGCATGTCCAACTTGTAATTTGAGTGGGAAATAACACTGAACTAGTCCAGAAAAATATATTTTAACTGAGTTTTGAGATTTAAAGCAAAATTCGTTGTCAAATACAAAAATTACAGTTCTTTTCTGCACGTAAAATAAATTGTGTAATATAATTTCTTCTATTTAGCTTCATTTTATACTTTGTATATCAAATTGATCCTTTATACAGTCGATTCGGACAAATATTGAAATATAGTGTTAAAATCTTTTGGATATATAATAACCTCTTTTATCTGTATCTGCATGGAATGAAAAATGACATTTGACAATTGATAGATCACATTTATACAATATAAAGGAGTTACAATACCGAAAAAAGCAGTTTTACTATTTTAGACAACAAACAATAGGTACCAAAAATCGTTCAACTCTAGAAGTTAAGTATATCAGTTCAAAAAAGGTTCAACTTTTAATAAAAACCATTTATTAATAGTATGTTACTATATATCGTGGACTTTTTTTATTCCTATGAGTTACAAATGTAAAATGTAGCAAATAAATATTTTTTTACAATCTATCTTACAAGATAATCCCTAGACAGCCCCAATATATTGCACAGTGTCTGATATTGTGCAATAATATTGATAATCTATTCAAACCCAAGCTTTTTTTATTTCATAGATTAACGTCAGAATAATTATTATTGCACAATATTCTGAACTTACTGCACAATACTATTGTACTTGATAGAGAAAACAAATTATTGTGCAATAGTTTTTGTAGTGATATTCAACGTAACCTAACCTAACCTAAAATTAATTTTCGCACATATATTAGTAATCACACGATTAGGTGACCTGGTCGAAATATATTGCACAATAATTGATACTGTGCGGTAATACTGACCGTTTATACAATCAGACTTGAACGTACTTCACAATATTATATCATATAGCGTAATAAGTAGTATTGTTCAATAAGTTTTTAAAATAATTGAACAACAATATGTATGTCTATTACCTAGGAATTCATTCCTTCAACAAAAACAACGGCTTTATTAATGTGTGGGACGAAACAGATGGTAGAGGATCTCAGGAAATATCTTCAATATTGACCATGCATCTGAGAAAACATGCCAAAAATCATAACCACGTAACTCTCTATTCAAATCATGTACAGGACAAAACACAAATTTTAAAGTGGCTGCCACGTTACTGAATATTGTTCAAGGTGCTTAAATAAACATAAGAACTATAGATCACAAGTTTCTTGTATCTGGACACTCCTTTTTGCCAAACGACAGATATTTTGGGGTTATTGAAAAGGCTGCCAGAAAATCTTCTCACATCTTTAGGCCCGACGACTGGATTGATGTAATAAAAACTTCAAAATTGACAGTGCCTTTTGAAGTAGCTAACATAAAAAGGAGCGACATTGTGTCGACAAAGAACATAGATGTGCTTGTAAATTGGAAAAAAGATAGTGATGGAGCACCTGTGAAGTGGCGTTGTGAGAATAAGATGGATGAGGTACGAGAGAGAAAATTCCGTTTTTTACTGTGTCGATAGCCAAAACAAATGTCTCAAAATTCATTAGTCATCTGTACTCCACACCTAGACTCGTGATAGAAGCAAAGAAAAAGGACATGCTGTCTCTCCTTCCATATATGCCACCAGTCACACACTATCTTAACTTTTAAAGATCTCTGCATCAACACAGGAACCCGTTCACGAATCCAGCAACAGGGTGAATAAGACGACATAGACGATCATGAACTGGTCTATGATGATTAAACCTAATGCCACTTAAGCTGTGAGAGTATTATTGAAGATTGTTGTTATAAGTTTTTTATTTGGTATTATTTTTTCTAACTTAAAATTCCAGTTTTGTCATACTTCCTTTTTTAATCCATTTATTTTTTTCATCAAATATTTCAGAGTAATAATGAATCAAGTCCAATTTTTTTCAAGAGTCTCCAGTTATTTCCAAAAAGGTTATTTATTTAATATTGCACACAGTTTAATTATTTAAACTACATATTACATGAGGTTTTCACTTAGAATTGATTCGTTGGTGTATTATGTAATAGTGGAGAGCTTGTTACCTTTAACTCTAAATATCTCTGACTTATGTATTATGAACATGATCCACTGTGGTTCTGAACGCCTCAAATAAAGGTGACTCATCTACAAATTGAACTTAGACCTAACGGCAACAATGTTAAATGTCAGAAGTAAATTCTTACCGCGGTCATTTTTATTGTGTATGCTTCGCCAATGTGAATAAGTGAAATGTAAAATAGTTCCATAAAATTTGTCCCCGTAATAATATACATTCTACATACCGGTGCGAATCATGAGCGAATAGTCGACTAAGTTCGTTGAATACTTTCAAACATCGGTAAACTTATCAACACTTCGCTGGTATATAAATACATATAAATACATATATATATATATATATATATATATATATATATATATATATATATATATATATATTTACTTCCTTGGAAAGAATCGGAATGAGAGAAATAGTTTATTCGTTCTACATTATATATGTGCATAGGCGTTGTGTGTTCTGTTTGCATTGTATTACAAACTAATTGTATTGCTATTTTATCGATTTTAGGCGCCTTGGACCCAATATATTTCACAATAATTGATGTTGTTCGATAATACTGACCACCTGTACAAACTACATGCTTTATATATGTTTCAATGGTTGACTGATGATAATAAGTCAGAGGTGAACCTATTTTACAATAATATTGTGAAATCAAACAACAGTATTGTTCAGTAAGCTTGTACAATAAACGGATATAGTACACTACTGACCGTCTAGGACTCCTTAAAACTATTTTTCACGCGCATATTTATGTTACGATATATTGTGGGGAGATTAGGGGGACTTAGGCTATTTAGATTAAGCTTTTACTTTATTTATATATTTAAAAGAAATCTGAGATATAATTAAAAACATAAATATTCTATTTCATTGTATAAAGATATTATTTAAGTTCTAATATATTAATTTTTTAAAGTTCTATGCCAGTTAGAAAGTTATAACAAAATATAACTATATAGTTCCAGTCCAGGCTTATATAATGAGCTTGAAAATAAAATAATTATGCCAATTGGATCCATGAGATACTGCTAATTGTATTAAGTATTACTGGTAATAAGTATTAATTTACTTTAATGAATATTAAACTCATCTTCACAATGCTTGATTGTTATGTAATATATTATGATTGCCAAACATCTGTGAACTCAGTTTTTGCATTTGAGATGCAAAAATGAGTACGCACTCTTTAAAAAATATATATTACATACTATATTAAACCTGGGCTGGATATTATTCTATTTAAGCGAGATTGTATGCGTTTAATTGATATATTTTACATTACACTAATTTATTTTATAAGAGTTTTCGATATTATCGCGATACAAGCTACTATTTTATGTTAAAACTTTTGACGTGCTGTACCATAATAAAAAAATACATTTACAAGCATTTTAAACAAAATTAGATAGTGGTGCTTATTAGTCTTGAGAATTTTCTACAATTTCTGCTAAATTAGTTCATAATCTCCAATATATTTGTTGATTAGGAGACATATTGGCAACTAGTTTACTGGAGTAGCTCTACAAATGAAAGAGTTTTTTCATACAGTGTTGCAAAGTAAAGTCCTTCTTCAACGATAATCGGTTTAGAACAATTTCGAGCGCACCAGTATTGCCAAAATGTATCGTGTATTATAAAAGTATATTAGGTTCAGTAAGTATAAATACAGACGTGAGGTTTTCAAGGTCAATGAATAACTGCATAGATATAGATTCTTAAAGAGTTTTATCTTCCTCATAAGTTAGAAACTGTACTGGCTGTCATTGACGAAACATTATTGACATATTTGGCACATAATAATGTTTAAAATACGAGAGTCATTTGAAATTAATCTAGCCTTCGATAGATGGCAATAATTTTGGGTAATGCTTTGTTAATTCCTTTGATTTAATAATCAGGTAATCATCTTATACTTTTCCTTTGCTGGTAGCGTTTATTCTAGCTCTACTTATATATGTGCAACTTGGTAGGTGTGGCTTTTTTTGACCACTCAGAGGATTTGTCCTACGATACGGCTTTTGTCAACTTTTCTCTGTAGAGTTCTCTTCATTTTGTACCTCTAAGAATCAGATGATATTGTCAGTTGAAAATGTCAGCGAGATAAGCACAAAGTCCTCTCGAGACACCAGCATTTATCATGGAAAGCAACAGCCATCTTAATATGAACTTTAAGTTGCTAAATTAAAGCTTTGTCTTTGGATTCGGCGCCACTATTTCCAAGATCGTCAATCTAAGAAGCCGGATCCAATACATTTCGTTCTAGGATGAACTTTTGAGATGTTTTCCACAGAATGAACTCTATTTGACTTTTTGGGTTCAATCTTTTATGGTTTTTTGTGATTGTAACATAGGTTTTATTATCTGCTTTTGATATTTTGGATCAAGGCACTAATTCATCAAGACTTAAACCTTTATCATGGTTGTAAGAGTGTGAAAATAAATTTCCAGGTACGTTATAAACCTTCACTACTCTAGAAATTATTAAAAGAGTCGATATGATCATGGCCCATAGCAGTATTAAAATTCTTGAGATAGCAAGTCCAGTTCTACATGTCACAAGCAATAAACAGTCCAAACAGTGGAGAAAAAGCAACGAACCCCCCTTGAAGAAGGCAAAGACTATCTACTCAGCAGTAATGTTGATGAAATGTTTTTTAATATATGTAGGCGTTTTTTTTAAATTGATTATTTGAAAAAATTATGCAGCACTGCTATTAACTAGCATTGACGGAACAACCCATCAATAATTTTTTCCCCTCAGGCTAACCCAACTGCTTAAGAAGCGGCTATTTGCCGTTCCCATGTGCACCACAAAGCTACACCAATTGTGATTCAAATGCATCTGCCAGCCAGCATATTCACCAGATTTATCTTCTTGACTATTTCTGGTTACCAGCTTGAAAAAATGTCTCGTAGGGCATCGTTTTACAACAACCAATAAGATCATAGTTGAAACTTTAACACTACTTTGAGGAGCTTATAATAACAAAAATCGTGCGTTTGCTTACTTCTATTCTAGATTGTTATAATTACCCTCGTATTTTTTATGGCTAGAAACCTAGTTGTACAGCAAACCGGTAATGATATTTTGTTTTATTTTGTATTTTATTTTATATTTGTATTTATGTTATAAAATATGCCATTATAGGCACATTTTTATAGAAGAAATTGTAGAAAATGTATTAGATATTACAATATACCCATTAATTATTAAAAAATATGTTTAATATTACGGGTACTGTATCTAAATATGTATAGATATTTTATGGGTAGATATTAGTAGAAGATTAATATTTTATTAATTCAATATCATATAAACAAATGGAAAATCGTTATAAAGTAATTCCGTGTCTACTTTAAATAATCGTTCAGTCCAAATCATTCAAAATAATCTCTATATAATATTAAATAAATGTTTTTTTCAATCATTTGCATAATGTATTTAATATGCAACTTTTTAAAGTTATAGCACTTTTTTGCAACAATATAGCTTAGTATAGACATATAAGTACCAACATTCAATATCGCTTGACTTATTTAAGCATTTTTTACTATTTTAAAATAGTTTTCAGTTATTAACATCAAAATTTTAAAGCTGCCAATAAGCTTCATACGTTTTTTCTCCTAATAAAAATATTTTAAGCTGCTAAAACAGCCGTTTACATAATATATGTATATTATTTTACCCAAAGAATGAAATAATGTCATAAAATAATGAATTTTATCAAGTTTGTCAAAATTATCTTTACTTTCTTCTCATGTCAAATATTTTACAGGAAAAATTCCCAAAAAAATATTTTGCCTATAAAATTGATTTTGTCAATTTTTCCCAATTTGATAAAAGTTATACAAACAAAATAATCCTAAATGCACCTAAGAGCTCCAATCCTGACTCCACTTTCGCCCTAACGCGGCATCACAGATATTGTTTCCTCAAACCACGAGATGATCAGATAATCCAATGAGATAGAAAGACGTCTAGAGTGTCTCGACAATAGAGATGAGTGTACTAGACTCTAATGGAACCCAGATGACTGCACACAAAGTTTCTTCTAATACTTATTTCTTATCAATTCCATAATTTAAACCTACTAGAAAACTATACAATCATCTCCGCCAAGCTTACTTCATGTCGTCAGCTGTTCTTGTCTACCAGATAATTAGAGAATCCATTCAGATCGAGTAGCTTCCCGAGCACCTTAACAATGCACATCGTCAATCAGCTAGCGAAACTTAGCTTCTTTCCTCGCTCTAATCGTATACTAACCAAAAATTTATCCAGAGTATAACACTGTTCCTCGTCAGAATTCAATTTGTAGTACTTGTGATCTATACACACCGGTCCTGGAGATTCCATTTGTTTTATAAAAACGTGAAATAAGCTCAGAAATCATGGAGATTTAGGGACGTCTCAAGCGTATTAACAACAGAGATGAGCGCTCCAGATTACGTATGATATAGAGGTTCCTTTAAGGTTACCTACCACAAAACTTGTTTTGTTGCGGCCAAATCAGCTATCATTGCACAAAATTACTTCCTATCGTCAGCTTTTCTGATTCTGATCTCTAGCTAACTACAAATGAACAAGAGTTCATCATCAGAACCCAGTCATTAGTACTTTTGATCTGAAATGAGAAATCACCAAGCAATCTTGAGGATCACCTCAAAAAGGTGCATTTGAATAATTTAATAATATTTACTAAAACTTATAATACTTCTTTTCACAAATCAAAACATACTCAAGAGCTGCAGATTACTGATCCTTTGTTTACAAACAATTAAAATATAGAAAAATATTCTCTTGTGTCAAATAAAGCGAGATTTGGACACATTAGCACCTCTTAGTAATCTGAGTTTCTTATACGTTCTGCAGTATTCTGCAGCGTAATACTATACCATCATTTCATTCTTTCCGTAAAAAATAATACTTAAATGTACTTTAATAGACACCCATTTTTTAATTTCCATGAGCATTGCCAATTTATGAGACTTTTTCTGCTACAAAAAAGTTGTATCAAGGTTATAATAAATGGTTTTCTTTCATTTTTGATCCATATCATTTGTGAAGACTGATTTATGAATAAAATTAAATCTCTCTATCGAATTTATACATCACATTAACTCTGAAAGAAAGTATAAAATATTCTTGACAATTTTTTTGGCTATTATGACGTGATATGTGATGTTTTGACACATGAGAAAATGGAAGATTCCAAAACACACGAACACAATATTGCGTTAGAATAAATAACACGTACATAGATTTAGGAAGAAAGTTATGTGTGTGTTGTAGTTTACAACAATTGTTTTGCATCATAATATAGCTGCCGCCTATAGCTAAGTTTAATAAAACTTCATTTTCAAAAACAGAAAGAAATATTCTTGATGTACGTTGACTTTATTTGATTCTATCATTTCCTTTTATGGTAGTTTATCATTGTGGCACTTTATGCAATGTGCATAGTATTGGATGGATGCATATTTTATACGTTGTGAATAGATTTTTGGAGATAAACGATACATTTTTAATTTATTTACTAATTTCAACTGTAAAATTAATAAAATCTGTTGTAATTATATAATAATTGATATATAATATAAGTAATTATAAAAAAATTATATATAATTATATTTACAACAATAATGTCGCAGTCCATTATCACACACTAATTAATGACATAGATCCAAAACTGAAAGAAAAACTTTTATTACGACTTTTGCAGATTTGTGTAAACGACTTCAAAAGTCCCTGAGTATTTGAAATGAGCATCTCAGAGGTAAATCAATATCAAAGACGAATTTTTATAAAATGATAAAATATGAAAATATATAATAAACAGTATAAAATAGTTTTTACTAAAAAATCCACGAGGCTAAGGTAAAAATACCATTTCGAGATAAAGTTTATATACACAGTTCATTATTTTTTAAAAGCCTACCTTGATAACTGAAAATTAAACAATATATACAAATAAATAAAGTAAAAAAATCCTTGTCAGTTTTCGTAACCAAAAAATAAAAGAATAAACTGCTTTTTACGAAATTCTAGACACATTTTGAGAAAAATATCTTTAAAGCAGTGCGTTAGTTTCTTCCATGTATATAAACCCTGCCCTGGTTCATTAATAATAGTTCAAAAATCATTATCACGTGCAGATTATGCGTATTAGAAAAGATAGATCCTAAAACTGATGACGTACCTACTGTGTAATATCAAACATTCCTTAACTTAGGTTGTCATTTGTTAGATGTCACTTGTCAGCTAACACTTTAAACTAAAACTAACTTAATTCAAACCCATTGTATTCCATACTGTTAATACAGCAATATTTCGAAAAACCGCTAGAACTTAATCTTATTTTGTATTAATTGACTATGTAGATATCAAAATCTTTGTGTAGACTGTAAATAACTCGGTTGTTGTTGTTACAGGATCATCATCGTTTTAGCGATCTATTATAGAATGAAGTATATTATTAATAACCAAACCATTTAGTTTAATTAGCTTCTAGTTGTCCCGTTTCAGCATTCTGATGACCGTTGGTAGTCACCCCCAGATTTTGCATTTTGATGCCATCTGGGGCGTCGCCACTTTGACACATGCATAGGTACACTGTATCAAGAACCATCTAAAACAAATACATAACTTAATATGTATCAAAAACCGTATTTAAACAGTGTAATATTAGCCCAGGGAAATAAGCATTTTTTCATGACACTCCGGCCAGCAAACAACAGTTGTTTTGAGTAGTATGGACCTCTGTAACAAAAACCTATATGTTTCCTGCAGTCAATTTTTTGGACTTAATTAGTTATTAACAAATAAGGATCAAAAAACAATAATGTCAAACTGTCAGTTTCTGACAAATCAATCATGGCCAACTCACAATAATTATTGGTAAACGTTAAAATATCTACCAAATTAATACTTTGATGGAAAAATAAAAATATCTAGAAAACTGATAACTTTAGGTATATGGAGTACTTTATAAAATTTGAAGTACGATATTAGTACTTTTCGATAGTGATATAAAATATAGGGTGTTCTATTTAAAATTACCAAGAAAATAATTTACTTGCATTTTGACTTACCCTGTATTTGATTTAACGAATATTATGAAAACGAATATGTTTTATAATTTTTAACAATTATTAAAAAACTATGTTTGCAATAGATCAATGTTCCTATACTCCTTTTTAATTATACAGGGAGTTAAACTTGATACGATTTTCAGGTAATATTGGATATAACTTTTTAAATACCCGGTATAACATAATAAAACTTTACATTGTTGTGATGTGGAAGTGAAGCAGATTTCAAATTTAAAATAAAGTACAGGGTGTTTCGTTTAAAAAAATATAAGTTTGGTCTGCCACTATCTTATAGAACACCCTTTAAGATTGTAACTAATTTTAAAATGTGGAGTTTAAAGCTGCCTACAATTTTTGTCAATAACTTTTTTTTGTAATTTTTACTATAACAGATCTACGGAGTTTCCTCACACTAATCAATCACCCAGAAGAGTTATCAGAAAAAATTTCTACCAATTAACCAAAAACAAAATTTGATTAATTTATCAATGTTCTGTATTTAGAGAAAGATTTCCGAAGTAGAAATCGAAACGTCAAAAATAAACTTATTATAAACTTAAATTGTGGCTTATTCCCCAAAATATAGGAAATGACAAATACTTGTGTTTTACATTCAAACTTACCTTAAATATTACTAAAAAAAATTAAAAACAAATTTGTTTTTAAACAAATTAGGTGGTTTATTTGACAATTTATTTATTGAAATAATGCATATTCGTAATGTACGCAAAAAGTCCATACAAGTTCAAAAAGAAACGTTGAAATACATAAAAAAGGAACAGAGATACAGTTAACAGCGCCTTCCCCTCCATTCAGCTCCCGCGAGTTTCAAATCCGACCGATTTTACATACATTTTAAAGCTTTGTGGACGATTCCATTAAAGTACTTTAGTACTAAAAAAATTTAGTACTTTAAAACTATAAAGTATATTCTTTCAAATAGCGCTAATTAGATTTCTTAAGTGGCGTAATCAAAGGTGCTATGAATTAAATAAAAAAGAGGCTAACTTTGTCCCAAATTATTTTAGGACAATTTTTTTTCATTTAAATTTGTAAAAAAATTCAGGCTTTTTAAATATAAAAAAATAATATTCTTAAAGTCAATGGTTAAAAAGTTATTCTAATTGTTTATAAGCAAAAAATCGACATGTTTTTGCAAAATTATTTTACAATATTTAAAAATAATTTTTTAATGTTTTTTAATGTAAATAATAAAATAAGCCTTCTTCTTCCAGAAACTACCCTTACAATTACTAAAACTGTATAATTTTCTGACTTATATTGTTACAAAAAATGTTAATTTGGGATAAACAAATAAAATAACTTTTAAAGTATTTGACCGATCACTTTGAAATTTTGACCATATTTTAAGCACTGCAAGACACAGCATTCCATGAAATATAAATGGTATTAGTTTATTTTCAAAAAAGTTATTAACATTTATTAAAATCCGAAATTTTTGACTTATTTTGCAACTTCCTAAGCAACAAATAAGGATATAAACACTTAGAAAACGCCATTTTGAAGGTTTTTATATGACTTATAAGTTTCCTCTTTTCTAAAATTTGTTTAAATTGCTTCACTTTTTGCTGATAGACGAAAAAAGCAAAAATTTTCCGTTTTTTGACCCTTATTTGTTAATAACTAATTAAGTCCAAAAAATCGACTGCAGGAAACATATAGGTTTTTGTTACAGAGGTCCATACTACTCAAAACAACTGTTGTTTGCCTGGCGGGACGAGTGTCAAAACAAGGTACTTTTTTTGCTTATTTCCCTGGCCTATATTGACAATATAAGACATGAAAGCGCCGACATATAAAAACCGTAAACTTACCTCATACAACGAGAGGATACAATGGGCAACGAAGAATGCAAAAATGCATACGACCAGTGTAGGAGCTGCATAAAATGTCAATTCTGCATCTCTTCGGAATAAAGCTAAACCAACGCAGCCTGTTACAGCAGTGACGAAGCATTTGCCCAAGAATAAAATGAAATCGCCTAAGCTGTTTATCGTAGCGACTTGCAGAACGTTTGCTGTAAGTACTTCAAAGGCCTAAAAGGTAAAATTACATCAGTACTTTTATCTGGGATATAATCGTCTTTTAAAATTCATGGGAAGAACTACACACTGAATTACGAAGAACTTATAAAACTAGATGTAATTGATCTACATAAACCTATCAAGAATTCAGTTCAATTTGCAGTATCAGTACTAAATGTTATACAATATTTATATAAATGAAGAACTTACCGTTCCAGCAGCTTTACAGAAATTGGAACCATCTATAGCAATAACGGTGTAGGCGTTGTGATTCAGATATCGAATGAATTTCTCCAAACAATAGAAGCAGCAGATGCAGCACCGTAAACCACATGTTGCACATTCGTTACCCTTGGACTTTCCTCTATTAAATCTAAAAGACATAAATATTAGATATTTTGTGTTGTGAAACACAAAATCGCAGTGCATAACTTACTTTTCATGTAGGTACATCAGTATCAACCTGGGAATTTTAAAGGCAGTGATAATCAGGGAACCAAGAGCTACAGAACCCAGATGATATTTGATCAACTTTCCAGTCGCGTAGCAACAATGCGATTCATCCTTGTATTTGTGCTTGTAGAACCAATGTGCGACAGATCCTGCTATGACCATTTGTTGGCAGGCCATTATAAATTCGGAAGTCCATATTAGCCCGATGAAGTACACCCACCACATACCTCTTACCCAGCTAGCATCGACATAGTCAACTACTGAAACTAATAAAAAACGAGATAACAAAAGCATTGGTAACATTTTTGCGTAAATAAATAGTGTATACCAGTGATATCTTAATTTTAAAATTTACGCAATCAAATTTTTGAGGACGATACACTAAGTCGCATGACTTAACTGGTGAATAATCGCGAAAATAAATTATGAATATTTAAAAGACTTACTTTTAACTTTATCGGCAAATGTCTCCAAATTCATCTCCTTTTGGTCGGTTTGAGAAGGATATACCAATTTTGAAGCATAGCTACCGCTACGGCTCGAGTTAACTATGGCTGCGGTATTTCGAGTCATCTCGCCTTTTTCCGGGAATGAAGCCGTGGCCAAGCATAACTAGAAGTTAAAAATAAATAACTTCACGTCTCAAAGATCTACGGACAAGTTGCGTTTCACTATGCAACATCAAAATCTGATAATTATTGAATTATAAAAGACAACAAAATCTTTTCCAATGCCGGTTGTGTTGGGACTATCTACGACTTTGTTAAAAATGATTCTGGTATGTGTATGATGTAGACATAAAAAAACCTTAATAATAAAGAGTACCAAATGTTATCTTAACGCACTGCCGTGTGAGTGGTCACAGTGGAATGTGCTATATGTTATCCATGTAATCTATTCCATGGATACCAATTATATATCATAAGGTGATTCTCGGCATTATACTCTTGGCAACTTTTTTCTTAGAGGTTTTGAAACTACTTGGCATTGAAGTTTCCAAACCACGTGTAGCCAAAAACAAAGCCAAATAATCTTTCAAAAAGATTATCAACGAATTTTTTTGCAACTAACAACTTTATCAAATGAACAACAAGGATTTAGATCCGGAAGATTCTGCGTATACGCCGTATTTGTATTAAGACGAATCACAGAAAAGGCCATCGAATGCAATAAACCAGCATATCTATGTTTTATAGATCTAACAAAGGCTTTCGATCGCATCCAAGTGGAAGACGTCTTACACCTACTGTATAAAAGAAACACACCTACTGTATAAAAGAAACATACTAATTAATATTATACAAGCGGAAAACATCTACTTCCATAATCGAATACAGGCAAAGATAAATGGAAAACTAACACAGTGTATACCAGTACAAAGCGGAGTCAGACAGGGTGACTCGTTAAGCCCACTTCTCTTAATAATAATCGAAGAATATAAAACATAGTAAAGGTCAGGTACGAATCGGGAACAAAGAAATCCAAATATTATTTTATGCAGTACAATATGATAATATCAGCAGAAAAAACCAAATGTATGACAACATCTAAATACCTACTACGATGTAAAATCGAAATTGATGCGAAAATATTAAAGCAGGAAGCAAGGTTTAGATATCTGGGAATAGATATAACTAGTTACAGAGATGTTGAAGAAGAAGTACGACAACAAAGCTTAAAAGCAAGTAAAGCTGCGGGATCTCTTAATGACACAATCGGGAAGAAAAAACGGCTGAAACAAGACACAAAAACAAGAATCTATAAAGCAGCAATTAGACCTATATTAACATACACGACGGAGTCGACAAGAACTGACACACCTAAAACGAGACGACTACTAGAAACAACAGAGATAAAAATGCTTCGACGAATATCAGGGAAAAGTCTGTTGGATAGGAGAGAGGCGAAAACATAGGAAAAGCATGCAATATAGAAGACCTAAATGGATGGGCGACAAAACGAAAACAGGAGTGGAACGAACACATTAGTAGAATGGCCGAGGATAGGATAGTACGAATAGCACGAGATAAGTCACCCAGATGGACGAAGAAGTATTGGCAAAACAAGAAAAAGATGGTGCGATAATTTAAACAGTTTAGGAGGCTAATATTGAAGAAGAAACAGGTTTAAAGCCTACATACAAGAAGGAAGAAAAAGAAATTTTTTCGCTTCGTTACTACAAATCTTCAATTTGGGATTCACCGGTTATGTACTCGCAGTATGAAGATTGGGGGATACACATGGAGACTAAACAAAGCCTCAAAAGCAAAATTATTCCACAGTGAGACCGATTTCTTGTTCTTTCGATCTTAGCTGTCATACATTTCTGTCTAGAGATCTATTGAATGATCTGAAATGGCAAAGGAAGTGATGGTTAGTGATGAAATGGAGCGGAAGGGATTAAAATATTTTTTAAGACCTAAAAGACTTGTACGAAAGCCTCGCGTAACGAAAGATCACGACTACGATTTGAAAAACACTGTTGATTGGCAATATTAACATTGGACACCTTTACTCTTCAAGAATCAGCTTAGATTTCGTCTAACCAGTTGTGATGGTCGTCTTCGCATGCTTAAATATCAGGATGAACGGCACCCATCTGTTATATCTAGGAAATCGACCGATTTGGTAGTGGATCTGCGATGGTTTGGGTTAAAATCATTTTAGACAAATAATGAAGTTAAAATTTTCGAAAATATACCGAAGAGAGATCACAATGCTATTTCTGGTCAAGTTTAACAGTTCTATTCTGATAAATAATTTTTTTAGAGAAAATTTTAAACACTTTCGTTAAATACTTACCACTACGAAGAGCCAGAACATGAAAAACAGCAATAATACAGCAAATGTTAATATAGGTTGAATGAACAGTTGAGGAAGGTGCATGACACACTTTGAGGTCTCTTGGAACAGATCTGCTAGAAAGTCCACTTTCTTTCTCATAAAAACTATTATTAATAAAATAACAGCCTAAAAAATATCTATGGTAAATAATATTACTTTATATGGCACTTCTATATTAACTATTGTATTTAATAATACAGAAATATACCAAATTCTATTCAAAAATACGTTACATTTGAAGTTTCGATTTCCAACTCTGAAATCATTCTCAAATAAAAAAATATATAAATATATAAGGTCTTTGTTTATCTATGTAGCTCTCGATGCTATTATGTATGGAATATACTATCATTCCAATGCGTCGCGGTTTCGCTTGATGCGCATATCGGAAATGTCCAATTTTCCCCCTCGCTCATCTGCATTCTCTCTGTCTCACTCTTCCTCTCTCTCCCTCTCTCTCTCACTCTCTCTCCTCTATCTCACTCACTCATCTCATCTCTCTCTCTCTCCTCGCTACTCCTCTCCTCCGCTATCTCTCTCTCTCACCTCTCTCTCACTCTCTCCTCTACTCTCTCTCCTCTCTTCTCCTCTCTCTCTCTACCCTCTCTCCTCTCTCAATCTCTTCTCCTCCCCACTCTCTCCTCACTCCCTCTCTTCTCTCTCTCTCCTCTCTCTCTCTCTCTCTCCCTCTCTTTCTCTCTCTCTCCCTCTCTTTCTCTCTCTCTCCCTCTCTTTCTCTCTCTCTCCCTCTCTTTCTCTCTCTCTCCCTCTCTTTCTCTCTCTCTCCCTCTCTTTCTCTCTCTCTCTCTCTTTCTCTCTCTCTCTCCCTCTCTTTCTCTCTCTCTCCCTCTTTCTCTCTCTCTCCTCTCTTTCTCTCCCTCTCTTTCTCTCTCCTCTCTTTCTCTCCCTCTCTTTCTCTCCCTCTCTTTCTCTCCCCTCTCTTTCTCTCCCTCTCTTTCTCTCCCTCTCTTCTCTCTCCTCTCTTTCTCTCCTCTCTTTCTCTCCCTCTCCTCCTCTCTCTCCCTCTCTTTCTCTCCCTCTCTTTCTCTCCCTCTCTTTCTCTCTCCCTCATCTTTCTCTCCCTCTCTTTCTCTCCCTCTCTTTCTCTCCCTCTCTTTCTCTCCCTCTCTTTCTCTCCCTCTCTTTCTCTCCCTCTCTTTCTCTCCCTCTCTTTCTCTCCCTCTCTTTCTCTCCCTCACTCTCTCTCTTTCTCTCCCTCACTCTCTCTATTTCTCTCCCTCACTCTCTATTCTCTCCTCACTCTCTCTCTTCTCTCCTCACTCTCTCTCTTTCTCTCCCTCACTCTCTCTCTTTTCTCTCCCTCACTCTCTCTCTTTCCTCTCCCTCACTCTCTCTCTTTCTCTCCCTCACTCTCTCTCTTTCTCTCCCTCACTCTCTCTTTCTCTCCCTCACTCTCTCTCTTTCTCTCCCTCACTCTCTCTCTTTCTCTCCCTCACTCTCTCTCTTTCTCTCCCTCACTCTCTCTCTTTCTCTCCCTCACTCTCTCTCTTTCTCTCCCTCACTCTCTCTCTTTCTCGCTTTCTCTCTCTCTCTCTCTCTGTCTCTCTCTCTCTTTCTCTCCCTCACTCTCTCTCGTGCTCTCTCTCTTTCTCTCTCTCTTTCTCTCTCTCTCGTGCTCTCTCTCTTTCTCTCTCTCTCTCTCTCTCTTTCTCTCTCTCTATCTCTCTCTCTCTCCAAATATGTTATGTATATACAAAAAAGACAATTCGTCAAACCTTCCGTGCATGAATTGGTATCAATAGAGTGTTATACCGTTATTTCTGTATGCCCTGCGTCTTTAGACAGTCGGGAAGATACAAACTCAAACACGGAAAGCCATTGAATGTGTCCTGCTATTTTCACTTCTCCTGCAAAAAGCGCCACCTATATAGGTAGCCACCTAATACCTTGGAAAAATCTTAAAATTTGTCAGATATCTTATTCTGTTCTACCTCAAAAAATGGCTCCACATGCTAGCAAAGAATTAAAAGCAAACATTGTAACGAAATTAGAAGATGGTTGGTCACTATCTGCTGTAACGAACCATTTTAACGTAAGCAGAACAACAGTTTTTAATATGGCAAGGCAATTTCATAGTTCCTTTCACGTAGATGGACCGAAGACTATAAGCTGTTATTAATGCTGATGAAGATATTCTTCTTCTTCTTCAAGTGCCATCTCCACGGTGGAGGTCGGCAATCATCATAGCTATGACATTCTACGCCTCCCTATGCTTCTCTTTCCTTGGATCTTTCCCTGCATAATCAGTTGTAGCAACGTATATTTCTCTTCACGTGTAATATGTCCGAGATATTCCAATTTTCTTGTTTTAGTTGTATTTAAAATTTCCATTTCCATTTTCTGTCCACGATATTTTCAGAATTCTTCTATACACCCGCAGCTCGAATGATTCCAGTTTTTTCATTGATGCATTCCATAACATAAAATAGAATCCCAGATCATAGCTGCAAAACATAATAGTATTGCACCCGATAATAAGTGTATAGTACTCATAAAAACCAACGAGAATTATTAAAAAAGATTATCCTCGTATTGATTCGTGAAAAACGTGTAAAAATTATTATTTACTTACCGTAATGATAGAAGCAATAATCGAATACCAGAGGAAGGCAGTTTCGTTCCTAACGGATTCAGATAGCAGCATATACTTCTGCGTTTGATTTAGATGATACTTAATATCAACATACGTGTACCATAAGAAAGCTGTACCTGCTATACTAGCAACTGTAAAGCCTATCATGATGAGGTATGACACTAAATGGGCCAAACAGTGCAAAATACTGATGGTAAATAGCGATAGAACTACAAAATAGCGATGATGTAGCTTTTTCTATAAATAGTTTATGCGAATGTTTTTGAGTGTATTTATTAAATATTTTAATACGATTAATATAGAGGAGGTGATAGAAAAGTAGACTTTGTTCGCAGAGCAAGACTAATTATTTTTGACTGAAAAGTCGACAGTGTATCCAATTGACACAAGACTATGTTGAATAATATAATATTCTGTTTTTGTCTATAGTAAGCTAATAATTGTTCGATATGTACTCCTAAAACTATTATTCTGAAGCTATTTTCTTGTGGCTTATTCCCATTTAAATAGTAATTACCTAAAACTATGATTAGTGATAAATATTTGACTTTATGTATTTTAATGCGGAAATTTTTATTCTTATTCATAGTATACACCATAATGGCAAGATAATAGTTTTGAGTTGGGTGTGAAGCATATAATCGCAAATTCTTACATAAATCGCTCCAAAATATCACTACAAATGATAATTTCACTATGCGTGAGTTGTAAAATGTGGGTTTAGCTTTTTATTAATCTAAATATACAAAAAATTCAAAAAATTCGATATTTTTCCTCCTTTTTCGCATACATCCCAGGAACTATTAATTTTAGAATAAATTTGTATAGGACATAAAAGTTTTACAAAATGAAAAAATATTAAAAATCACAAAAAAAAACAGTTTAAAAAAGGTTTTTTCGTAAGTTTATTTTCCAGACTAAAATCAAACCAAGACGATGCATTTACTACCTTCAGTTTATTGTCTTATTTACGTTTGAAAGAATACGGAGGCACGGGGACTATAAGGGAAAACCTTTTACCTAGGAGCTGCCCTTTATTAGCTAAAAAAGATAATCATAAAAAGGAAAGGGGATACTATGAAAGTACTATTAATAAGACGGATGATGTACTAGTAGCTAAATGGGTCGATAATTCCGTAGTTTGCATTGCTTCAAATAGATATGGCATCAATCCAATAACAAATTTTACAAGTTATTCGCAAAAGGAAAAAACACATACAAGTTAGCAGACCAGTAGTACTTGCAGAGTATAACAAAAAAAATGTTGCTACTGATCGAATGGATCAGAATGTTGGACAGTACAGGATTCAAATTAGAAACAGAAAATTCTTGAAGTGTTCAGTCAATAACGGGTGCTGTTTGTATCGAAAATCAAACAACTCTCAGATGTCTCAAATAGACTTTCGAAGGGCTATCGTGCACGTTTACTTGAAGAAATATTCGACGAAATATCTCTCTAAGGCACTGGCAGGACTCTATCTCCATCTTCTAATGCGCAAAGAGTAGCCGATGAAATTAGATATGATAAAATGGAACACCTAGTGGATAAAATTCCAAACAACAAAGAAGACGTTGCGCTGCAAGATTTTGCAAAAGTTCAACAAGAATGATGTGTAAAAAATGTAAATTAGGTCTCTGTATTGATTGTTTCGTTACCTATCCCACAAACCAAAATATTTAAATTAATTTTTCATTATTTTCAGTTTTTAAATAAATAGAATTGTTTACAGATATATTTTGTATTTTATGCACCCATTAGCTCCTAGCGTTACATATATGTAACATCATATACTGAATGATTTATAAATCCGAATGCGTAAATTCATTTATTTTTATGTTTTTTAATAACTGATCCCAAAAAAATATTAGCATCACATTAAAAACTGTGAAAAAATAATCTGGGCATAATAAGTTAAACAACCAAAAATTATTAATTGTTTAAGTATATATATTGTTATGATAATATGTAAAATCGAGAAAAATATTGGTTTGCTTAAAATATTTCAAAGTTCAAAAAATTAAAATAATTCAGATAAGTCGAATAATAAACTACAAACATTTCGAAGAATGAAAGTCCTTTATCTTTGGATTACCTATATTGAACAAAACGTAAGATATGCATAAATTATTTTCTTTGTTAAAATATATTTGAGTGACGTGAGGAGCTTAAGTGAAATCTTAGACAATGGAAGCGGGTTTTCCAAATAAATTTGTGCCGTAATTAGGACAATAGAATATATTTTAGAAAGATATGTTTTTGTTAGTTCATAAGAATTGGTAGAAAAAGATTAGTTTGTAAATAATGTTCGGAAATTTTATAATTGTAGGTAAAAATTTGTTTGTGTTATCGAAATGAAGAAATGGGAGATGTATGACGCGTTTTGATTGGATGAGATTGAAAAAGGTGGGATGGTTGGTTTGAGAATGAGACTTTAGTTAGTTTTTAAAGAAAAAAAAGATAGTCAGTTGGTTTCCAAGGGTGCAAGGCGAACGGCCGTTGTTCTCGGGTAGTTTCCCAGAGGTAGGAAGCAGTAGCAGTGAAAGTTTGTGAGTTTTCGTGTAGTTAGTGTATCTGACAGAAGCTGATCCAGTAAAAGATTGTAAGTCATATTTTTCTACTTATATTCCAAGAGTCACTGTTCAGGCCAACGAGAGATTCAGTTTATCGTAAAGAGAATATATTCCAAGAGTCATTTTTCACTCAGGCCAACGAGAGATTCAGTTTATCGAGAGGAGAAGAGGCTAGCATAATTTGAACGATTCGTGCATTTGAAGGAGATCATTAAGGACGATAAACTTGCAACAATTTGTTGTAAGATTGCTGATTACCTAGGGAGCTGCTAAGAATGGATAGTATAGGCTAAAAGGAACAAGGATTTGGACCACTCATCATCAGAGAGAGATAGTTTTGTTTTTCTGAAGTTTTTCTTTTATTGATAACACAATTTTTACAAGTACTTTAGAAAATATATAAATATTTTGATTAGGAGATTTAGAAGAATAATTGGGATTTTGAGATTTTAACTAATATTGTTTGTACCATTAATTTTGAAGGTTCACGTACGTAGAACAAAATTTTGAGAATCATTATATGAGATATTGTTTACTGAAAACATTTGAGTGTGAATTTTATTTCATTATTTTTATTTCAATATATAATGTTATATCATATATGTTTTTTATTATTCCGGTATTCTTTGGACCTTACCTTTCACATGTAAAGCATAGATATTGAAGCACGAATATAACCCTGAGATAAGAGAATTAAAAAGTGTGATAGAATCATAATCATATCATTTAAATAATTTTAATTAATTAATTAATTAGCTAATTAATTGCTTGGCGCACTAAGATTTTGAATATCACAATAATATATATATATATATATTATATATATATATATATATATATATATATATATATATATATATATATATATAGCGTAAAATTAATTTCGATTCAGCAGCGACGGCTGCTCTCCTGTCAATTTTTTGACGGACAGACTACGTTTATTTGACATTTTAACCAACTTGTGGTCTGTAGCTAATACAAATGTGTACCCAATTAGTGCTTTGTATAGTAAAGGTTTTTATTTAAAAAACAGACCTTAGAACCCTAAACTTTGACTGTAAATTGCAGTCAACCTTGAATGATCATAACTCTGGGCTAATAAACCGATCATCTTATTTCTTTTAAAGCGTCATTCGAAGCACTTTTAACACAGAATAATAAACAATCAGAATGCCCAGTCTCAGATGCCGCCTTTGAAGTTTTTCAGCACGCGATCGCCATGTTTTAGAAGAAAACACAGACACAGAAATTGACAAATTTGTGAGAAGCTATGACAGAACTGTAATTTAAATTTTAAATTTAAATTGATAATTTAGTACATTTGAAATAATTACTAGCGTCTAAACAGCATACCAACAAATCAGGCAGATCGATATCGATTCATTCAAATAAGAGTTTTTGATCATATCGCAAAATATGATAATCGAATCGTATTTCCTAGTGTGTTTGTCAAGTGTCAAAGTCAAATACTTGTGTTTGTTTTGTTCATATCATAAATCATTACATTACAAAAATTTACTTGGTAACGTTTAAAAATATGTATAAAATATGCACTTGCATTTTTCCTTTCTTCAGTTATTGGTCCACAAATCGACTTCAAATGTTTTCCTATTTTGATTCTACCCTAACCTAAAATCCTATAAGTTTAAAAACATTATAGGTTACAAATAGATTATAACAGACAACTGAATACCGGTTGGGAGAAATTCCACTGTTTTTTAGGCAATGCATTTTTACCTAAAACACGTAGGTAATCTATGTGTTGCAACTAATTTAAATAATTTTAATTCTTCCATTTATTTAAATTACAATTACCATTTTCTAATAATTTAGGTTATGGTTATGTTATTGTTCTTCCGATGACATAAACCAGCACTCCGAGCTACTAAATTCAATTCGATTGTATCGATCTGAATTTGATATCGATACCGAATCGCCTGATTTGTTGGTATGTTGTTTAGACGCTAGTGAAATAATTTATCTATTCTTCAACTGAAAGTACGAATAAAATAGTGCATAATATTATGTCTGTAGTTATCGTAAATAGATTAAACCGGGTTAATTTGTCTATGCACACCAGATAAATTTTCACTGAACAGCACTGGTTTCCTTTAAAACATGGCGGAACGTCTGCGCGAACGAGATGCGCGTACTTAATTTTCCATGGAGAGTGGGTATTCTGATTGTTTATTATTCTGTGCTTTTAATATCGGATTTGAAAATTAAAATCTATTAACAATTGATGAATATATTCCACATTGTTAAACAAGCCTAATATTATAACCCTAAAATTTAAACATTTAAAAAAAATTCCCTTGGCTCTTCTGATCCATGGATTTTAATTTTTCAAAATGGGTTTGAAATCTTGAATGCTCTTCTATATGTAAAAAAATTTTAGTATCTAAAAGTTTTAGTTTTTAACATGCATAATTTTGAAAATTATTTATTAAAAACAATTACAAAATTATTTTGCAAAAACGTTTAAATCGATTTTAATGAAATTTTGGGTGGTGATTAAACATATTGAAAGAGTTTTCTTTCCTGGAATATGAGGGTCACAAATTTGATTTTAGTCTCGAAAATACACTCACAAAAAAACCTTTTTTTTTAACTGTTTTTTTTTTTGTTTTTAGTATTTTTTCAATATTAATAATAATTCTTAAGGTTTTAACTAGCATTGTCTTATATAAAATTTAATAACAAAACTTTTATGTTCAATACAAAATTATTCTAAAACTAATTCCGAAGTAAGCCGACGATGCTCGAATATGATATACATTTATGCAGATTGAACGAAATAAATTCGGAACATATATACAATATTATGTATTTCGGCTCAATTTTGCTGTAGGTGGTTGGCCAACAAAAGGTTGTCAAATAATTATATTATAAAAATCCAATACTTCAGCGGGCTGCTGGATTCTGAAATCATAAAAATTGAAAGCTACACATAAATCTACGATTTTATTATGCTGTCAAGCCAGTTTTACGCAAACCATTGTTACGCAAACAACATTGTTCCGAGACAGATAGTTGAACGATATTTTATACAATGTCTAAACCCAGGTATGGATTTATTTTTGTCCAAGTTTTATATTGGTCTATTTCAAATGCAGTTCAAACAGACATATATTAAATTGTATGATCCGTTTTACATTCGTTCAATCTGTATATATATATATATATATATATATATATATATATATATATATATATATATATATATATATATATATATATATATATATACATAATAAGTGTATGTATACCATATTTTCTGACAGAAAGAATATATTTTGCATTCATAATATTATATTATTCAGATCATACGTTTTGAATTTACCGCTAAATGTTTTAGTTCATCGCTCGGTCGTGTGAGGCGCTAGAAAATATCCCTCTACTTCCTACTACACTATGCTAGGGAGGTATGTGCTGTCGTGGTGTGTTCTTATTAAATCATCGACATTACAGAATCATAAATTAATGACTTTTAACAATTCGACGTTAAATTGGTATTAATACACTCAAAAACATTTAGAATACTAATCATAAGTCGTAAATATTTACCCAAAGCTAAGAAAGTTAACCCTAATATTTCCTTCCATGTACTGTAAAGATCTCCCAAAACTTGTTCAACCACATTCCAGCTGTTTAGAAGTCCATAAAAGTTGCTTACGATGGACTCTCCTACTTCTGTAACCTGTTTTGGTACGCAGCGATTTAAAACTGACACACTAAAAATAAAAAAAAACAATAATAATTGCCTACATACCAATTATTACATAGCCTTTTTTGGTACCGAAGAAGTAAGAATTATATTTAAATACTTTTGGTGCTCTGACTTCAAAATGTCTTTTTTGTATCAGCGATAAATGTAGTATAGTCCGTGCAAGCACTCTTGACCACGGCGCAGTAGACGAAATTTGGTTTAGTTTCCACTTCCATGCGAAACGCACTGTACTATGCAACGTGAAAATATCGACTTGAAAATTTTTAGTTGTGTTTCTGACTTTGAGGTGTTAACTTCAATAAGTTTGTGTGTTTTCTCCCGTTTACCTGTTGCGTATTCAAATTTATTAAAAGCGGTCAAAAGGTAGGTACTTTATCATAAATTAAAATACACAGGGGCGCATTAAGGAAATTTAAATAAAATTGTTTCATTTCTTTTTTGTTTTGAGACTGGTGCAAAACAAAAATTACTTGCAGTCTATTTCAATTAATCGATTAATATTTGATATTGGAAAATCTTTTTTTTTTAAACTACTTTATATGTTACGATTTATGTTGAATTGAGTTTATATTTTTTTTTGAAATATTTGTTTTTTTAAAATATTTTTATATTTTCATTTTCTTCACAGTGCTATCACAATTAATAACAGCGTGTTATTCACAGTCAGGGCCGACACATTGTTTACAATGTGTATAGTTTTTAAAAAAAGGAGCAAGAAAAAAACAACACAATATCTTCGGTTTTAAATATGGTTGTGGAAGCCACTGAAATTTCTAAAAGTAGCGTCCAAAGAATCATTAAAGAAGAAGAGAGAGTTTCCGATTTTTCATCTCCTTCAGGCAGCTCGGGAAATGTCTTTAAATCTCCCAGAAAAAAGATTAATCAGCCAAAACCGAAAACCAACGTCGATGGTTATGAGGGAGAAATTATAAGAAACACAGTGCATACTTTTGCAATGATTCATGGCAGCAGGCCTACAATTTCAGTTGTTTACAACGCTGTTAAGAATGAGATTAATTTCCAAGGTAAACTATCGTCGTTCAGAAAAGTGTTGAAGAAATTAGGTTTTAAATGGCAAAAAACAAATGACAACCGAAAAATACTCATCGAAAAAAACGGATATTCGAGCCAAACGAACCGAATATCTAAAAAAAATATAGAGCTGAGGGTTATGATGTTATCTACACTGATGAAACGTATCTCCACAGGAGCAACCTTTTAAGGATTTCAGGTATATAACTAAATCCAACTAATTACTAAAACGAAATCCACGTATAGGTAGGTAGAACCTAATTATTGTTCTATTGTTTCTAATTGTTCTTATCTAACCTCATTGCAATTCCTAGTAATCACTGATTTCTGGTAGATATGACGTATGGAGAATTCCAAACAAATTATAAATCAATCATTAGCATTCAACAAATCAGTTAACAAATTATCACTAAATCAAATTATTTGCTGTACCCTTTTTTGCATATCGTTTAATTTACCGTCCTAAATACACTTATAAATAAATAAAAAAATAGTTAATTTGTAAATAATTTGTAAGTTGGTACAACTGTTTACAAATTTTAAACATAATTTATTAAATTAAATGTATATTAGTTATTCATCTCATAATATTAGTTATATGTCTCAACTTAAAAAAAAATAAGAAATTGAAAATATAAACTTATAAACAATAATTTTGCAATAAATAATAGGGCTTTTTCCACGTTTAATACCGAAAGTTGAGTTTAAAATACCAAATTAAAGCCAGTTTAAAAAAAAACTGAACAAAAATCATGAAAATATAAACGAAATGCACATAAAAACCATTTTGGTTATGCACCGTGCAATATTTTATTTATTACTCAGTCCAACACTGTAATTATTTCGACAATTTCGAGGTTGCAGTCGAAGGTAGAGCGTTTTAGTTTGGTTAGTATAATTCCACTTAAAATAGAATCTTTCTGCCTTTACGTGAATTTTGACTCCGCCTTCGCGCAGCTAAATGGTCAAGAGTGCTTGCAAGTACTATAATATTAAACTAATAGATGCAGAACTGGAGAACAATAAGTGAAGCCGATTTTTTCAAGTTTAGTGCGCGTATTGAACGCTAGGTGGACACAAATAAGGGAGCAAAAAGTATAAACATTGTTTGAATTTTTACTTGTTTAACGTGATAGTTAGTTATATGAAATTTTGGAGTAGTTCAACTAAGATAATCTGTCTGTGGTATTTTTTTTCTCTCAGTTTCTGTAAACAAAGTTGAACAATTTGTGGTACAACTGCAATCTGGGTTATCAAACAGCTTTTCGGATACTCTCATTCAATTATTGGCAAAATACTCTTTCCCTCTATGTCTATTTTTTTCTTTAGTGTATTTTCCATTCTTTTTCATGTTTTATTCGTTTTCTAGATGTGGTAGATGTGATAAAATTGTTGTTTGATATCATTTTCAATCACTTTCCCAAAAGTAGAAACAATGCTTATGGTTATGTAATTGACAGTTTTTGAAAAATCACCTTTTTTGTAGATAGGTAGTACTTTTGAAAATTTTAGTACTTCTGGAAATACTCCAGCTAATAGAATTAATTTCATAAAATGAGTGAAAGGTGTTAAAAAACTATTTGGTAAGCTTCTTTTAAAATTTTGCTATTAATTTCGTGAACGTCCCTACAATTAGAATTACTAAGAGACTTAATTATTTGAGAGATCTCTTCTTCCACAACGGGACGAAAAAAAGGGACTTGCTCGGATAAGGATAATTGCTATAATTGAAGAGGGCATCGACATTAATAGTGGGAAAAGATGTAATTATATTCTCTGCAATTGTAGTAAAAAATTGATTAAATTCGTCTGGAGGTAGATCAGGTTGTACCTAACTGAATCTTGTGTTGTTTCTATCGAAAGTTACTATTTTCCAACAGTCTCTAGTATACCAGTAAAACATAAGACCTTATGTATAATTGAAAACTAATTAAAAGTAGTTTATCTAGTTTTGGCAATAATTTACTTACCTTTTAAAAACAGGCAAACTTGGACAAGGGCCGAATTGGCCGGATAACGAATTCGCAGTTGGATTATTTAGCTCGTTGTAATTAAAGTCATATCTGCAATAATCGATCCCCAGTCTGTGGTGACTGTTTAGATCTTGCAGAGAATTCAGCGTCATCCTCGGACATTCCCTGACACATATCTTAAGAGATTGCTTCAGTTCTTTTACATCAAAAAACAGCAAATATTTCTTTTCGCTGGTGTCGATTCCGCTCAGGGGCATGTTTCCAAAGGCTTTGTTACTACTTGTGCCACAAGTGTTGCCGAAAGAGTCATATCCGTTGATGATCCGTAGTGGGTTCCCGTAAACGAACGAAAACGCAGCTATGACGATCTAAAAATTAAACAAAAAGTATTTTTATAGTGGTAAAAAGTGTTGATATAAATAGGTTCTTTATATAAATAGGTTTAATATGCTTGTAATACTTCAGTGCATGTGATGCATACTCTAACAAAGACAGGGTTTCTCAATTGTATTAAGTGAATATTATTTGGTTTGTTCTGAAGCTATTTTCTTGGCTTGCATTCTAATATTATTTAGGTACTATTTTTATTGCGGACTAAACACATTTTCTGACAAATCGAAAGACAAGTCTGATGACTTCTTGTTGCTTCGTATAGAGGTCGCCGCTAGCGTACTCAGGCATGTTATATTACTATAACAGCCAACTACATTGGATTAGACAAGGGATAAAAGGCGAAGACATAATACAAAGAGTATGTTCCTAAAAATTTAACTGAGCCGGACATGCGGTTAGAAGTCAAGAAAGCTGGAGTGAAAATGTAAGTAGATGGAGACCCGGGGCTACGGAAGAAGAATCGTAGGAAGATCACAACAAAGATGTGACGACTTAAAAAGAACAGTGGGAGTAAACTGGTACCAGCTAGCCCAGAAGAGAGAAAACTGGAGAGAAATGAGAGAGTGCAACCAGTCTTGCAAGTTTCTTGCGTCCACATTCTCTACTCCAGGAACTGAGTTCACTAAACTTGTAAAGTCAAGTAGTTCAGTTTCATCTTCACAATTTTCGATATTTGGTCACAGTTTTCTCCATGACTTCAGCATTGTTAAATACTTTACAAACTCCCGCGCAGATGAAATTTCCAGAATAGTGAATGACTTCCATGACTCTTGCAAGACATATCCTTCAATTATTGACACTTCAATACTTCACTTCGTCAATATTGACGTTTTGGTCCATGGGTTGAGCTACGGAATAAGGAGTTAATGAGGGATTTGCGACTGGGAACCTGAAATGTCCAAACCATGCTGCAAGTAACTATTGAAGTACGAAGTAGACATAGCAGCCCTCCAAGAAATCAGATTTAAAGGGCATGGTTGCATAAATAAAAAAGAATACAGTATGTACTACTGTGGAGCAGAAAGACAAGGAGACTTTGGAGTGGGTTTTATGGTAAACCATAAATGCCGCAGGTCAGTATTTGGTTTCACTCAAGTTAATGAAAGAATATGCAAAATACGTCTAAGGGGAAAATTTCATAATACTACAATTATTAATATCCATGCCCCAACAGAAGTAGCAGATGAACTAGTAACAGATCAATTCTATGACCAACTACCAGTAAAATGTGAAAACGCACAGAAGAGAGATGCAGTTATAGTCCTGGGTGATATGAACGCGAAGCTGGGAAAAGAGCCAATATATGCAGAATCCTTTGGTAAGCATAGTTTACATGATATTATCACCAACAACGGTATAAGAGTGGCACAGTTGGCAATGACAAACAAACTAAGAGTTGTTAGTATGTACGTATTTTCCTCATAAAAATATTCATAAAGGAACCTGGATGATACCTGGTACTAATAAATTGAATCAAATTGATCACATATTAATATCTAAGCGTTGGGCAACCTCCGTCACGGATGTTAGAACTTATAGAGGCGCAAATTGCGATTCGGGCCATTTCTTGATTATAACGAATATAAAACAAAGAATATCAATGGTAAGAAAAGAGGCGCCAAACAAAGAAAATGGAACACATATAATATGTTTAAAAATCCTAAAAAGAAGAATGAGTACCAGTAGAAAATAAAAAGTAATATTAAATGAAAGAAGAGAACAAAACAAAATTGAAGAAGAATGGAATGTCATCCAAACGACAATTACAAATATGGCAAAGGAAACACTAGGTGAAACCTCAAGCAAAAGAAACGAGGAATGGTTTGACCAAGATTGCCAACAAGTAATAAATTGCAAAAATATAGCTAGACAGAAATGTCTACAAAAGGGATTCCTGATTTAATAGAAGGGCATATGAAGAACTCAGAAAAGAGGAAATAATGAAAAGGTGGAATGAGCATTTTCTAGAGCTGTTAAACCCAGAATGAGAACAAAACGAAGATTAAGAAATAATTCACCACACAGCACAACAACTAGTTGAGCAACCATCATTGGAAGAAATGATAAACGTCATAAAACATCTAAAAAATAACAAAGCACCTGGCACAGATGGAATAACTGCAGAACTGATAAAGAATGGTGGACATGCGTTATGGAGACACTGGAAGTCATCCCAGAAGATTGAAAAGTAGAAATCATACTTCCTATGTACAAAGGGGGAGACAAACGACTCCGCAAAAATTGTAGGGGCATAACAGTTTTAAATGTCGTCTACAAGATATTATCAGGAATTATATACAGCCGCCTGGAATGGTTTTCGGAGGAGATGATTGGTGAATACCAATGTGGCTTCAGACCAAAGAGGTCAACTATAGACCAAATACATTTGTTAAGAAGTATACATGAAAAATATAACATACCTATTTACAACTTGTATATCGACTTCAAACAGGCGTTTGATGGAGTAGATCTACAAACGATATTAAAGCAACTATCTATGTTAGGGATACCCAATAAGTTGGTTAAACTTATACGAATGACTCTGGAGGGTTCCAAAACTATGATGAGAATAGATGGAGATATGACGCAGACCTTTGATATTGAAAATGGAGTTAGACAAGGTGATGTCTTATCAACAGCACTTTTTAATCTAACTTTAGAAGCTGTTAGAAAACTGGATATAAACGGCTGTATTAATATAAGATCAATGCAAATATGCGCATATGAGGATGATGTTGCCATAATAAGCCGCAACAAAAAGGTATTAAGCGAAAAAGTTATAGAACTGAAACGAGAAGCTGCTACGTTTGGCCTATATATAAATAAAAGCAAAACAAAATATATGGAGTGCACAAAATCGAATCAACATAATCTGAAGGAAGACAGCCATACCTACAAATATGCCTCCACTTTAGGAATGTGTAGTTCACCATCGAAATAGTTCAAATGAACGATTCTTTCAACTGAACTAATTTAACTACTTCATTTATTTTCATAGAACTAGTTCACTGTGAACGATTTGCATTATAAATTCTGTCTCAACTTCTAAAGAAGAAAATAATGAATGAATGAATGAGAACATATATTTATTATTTTGTGAATGGATTGACTAACTAGTTTTAAAAAAATGCCGATTAGCCTCAGATAACAGATTCATAATTCTTATGAATGTGACAATAACATAAAGACTTATCTTAATGTCATAATGGTTCGGATCTTATGCCCATGTATTGGCTTGGATGTTGCCATGCCGTGTTGTTTCTTGTATTGAAATTTTGAAATAAAAATTTTAGTTGTGGTTAAAAGTTAGTTAGTTGGTTAAAAGTTAATAGTTTAGTTGTGGATTGAGGCATTTACATAAAATATAATTTTATGTAAAAGTGAGAATGAAAATGTGTTATTTAATGTTCCTAGAAAATTCACTGATTTTTTTTGTAAAGGTTCTTTTAGAAATAACCTAGTTATAAATACCTATGAGTTTAAATATATGTAAATATAAAAATAAATCATACGTGAACCATATTTATATTTAAAACGGTTAATAAAAAACAAATCTTAATAATTTTTTGCAAATAAATTAATATAATTAATATAATAATTTAAACCATTTAAACCTAAACATACGATCGAAAGAAATAGTTCCGAACTACTTGTACGGTAGTGAACTAGTGAAAGACTGACTGAAAACCGAAGAAAACGGGCGGCCGGCGCTGAGCTTGTGTGATGATTGAGACGAGACATCTGGCAACCAGTTATGTTAGGGTTGGATTTCGATTTCGGTCGTACAAATAGTTCATTCGCGAACTAGTTCACTGAACTAGTTGATTTTTGTGAAATAGTTCTCTTGAACTAGTTCGTCTAAAAGAACTAATAAGCACACCTCTACTCCACTTTTCCCTACTTAGGCTCAATAATAAATGACATCAGTCAAGAAATACAAGCACGGATTCTTAGCGGTTCTATGCTTTTATGCATACAAAGAATAAAAAGTAAGTTTCTGAATCGTGAGTCTAAGCTTAGAATCTACAAAACAGTAATTAGACCAGTGGTCACATATGGATGTAAAACGTGGATCCTCTCAACAACTGATGAAAATCAATTGGGAATCAAAGAGAATATTTGGGTGCAAAATACTAAGGAAGATATTTGGATCAACCCAATGCAGCGATGGTTCGTGGAGAATTAAAATGAACCACGAGCTGGATAAACTAATGCAAGAATTTGTGAAATGAATTAGCAATAGATCAACCGTATCGTTTCAAGAACAAAATATAATTGAAATGTCAGATGTTGGTAGTTCAGATTTCTTTACTAAGTGGTGTAGTGACAAACCGTCCTAATCTTTTATAGAAATAAATAATTTTGTCGCATATCTGGATAATATAGTCTTTCTAAATATGTCTTTTTACTTATTTCACGGAGTTGTATACCATTTACTTCTACAGAATCTACAGGTAAAATAATACCTACAAGTCAAGTCAAAGCGTTTTAAACTTGTTTAAGCTCTATTGCTTCTTCAAGGATGGGTTTATTTGTTTGGATGCTTGTGCTAATTTTGAATCTAATGCTAGTTTTCGTTCATACGACCTCGGATTCCCAAGACTAGGGGCGCCGCCGCTAAAGAAGTGTATCGGAAGAGGGATTAGGGGAGGAGTCGCCGGAAAAGAAGAAGAAGGGAAGAGGAGAAAACCCGGAGCTTCCGGAAGAAGCAGCCTAGTGAACCAAGCCTGTCACGAAGTACAAGTTCCGTGGAAAAAACGATTCCTTTCAGATTGTTGGCCATTTTTTGTTTGTTGGAAAACGCGTGGAGGATAGCTGTGGCTGTATCCTCACCTAGGTCAGGTATCATTGTGCAATGAGATTGGGAAACCACAGAAAACCAATCTCCCCCTGTCCTTAAAATTAAATAGTACCTACAAGGTATTTTTTAATCACCCTGTATGTCTAATACCTAATTAATAAACAATTAATATTT